GGGGGGGAATGACCAGTCACTGTACCCATTTCCAGGGTAGCATCATCCCGGTCCTCCACCACGATTACAGCCGGCTCCTGGGAAGGACCCTCCTCGTGGTGGGACGAAGAGCGTTTGCCCTGGCCCCTCGTCTCTCTCTTCCTCTTCCTCCATGCAGTGAAGCGACTGAGCAGGAGTTCACTGTCTATCTCTTCACCTGAATCTTGTAGTTCCACTGGAAACAAAGGAAATGGTCAGCCTCGGAAAAGGATGAACTAAACATATGGGTAAGAAGAAAAGGTCAATTACCAAAAGGACCACAATCAAGACCTTCCTCAGGAACGTCCTTCAGCTGGTTAGGCTGATGCCCCCCGGGGGTGTCCCTCAGTAGGCCGGGTTGGTGGCGAAGCTCATCCTGAACAAACTCAAACCCCAACCCGGCAAGGGCTTCCTCTGTCACCACCTCCTTGATGTTCATACCTCCCTTATTGCAGAGTTGGCGAGTGATGGACAGGAGGGTGGCATCAGGTCGGGGGCATGGGATGCGGCGGAAGGAAGGGCGCCCTGAACTCGTGAAAGGAGATTCGGGCCCCGTCGAAACGAAGACAAAGAAAGGCTTCTAGTCTTTGGTTGAGCCCTTCTTGTCACTCGCAAAGAGTTTACTGGATCTCTGGGAAAGGCTGGCATAGGACGCCCAATCTTTATGGCCCTTGGTCAGTTTGAAGGTGAATATGAAGTGGTCCAAGGTCGGTTTCACCCCCACAGCTTTGCATCGGACCAGGTAACCGGCGATGTACCGGTGAGAATTGGGGACTAGTTGGCACGGAAGAAGGTCCACCTCGTTGAGGTATTCGACCAACAACGGGTGGAGTGGAAAGCGCAGCCCCTTCTTCAAAGACGCCAGATGGACCATGAAGAACCTCGAGGGTGCATCTAGGGCAGTTTGAGTACTGGTAGGTCTCAAGACCTCAATGGAGGGGCCAACCATGTCAGTAGCATCGACGAACCCCCGGTAAGTGATTTGACAATGGCACAACGCCATGATGTTCTCGTCCAATCCAACCCTCGACCCTTCATCCACCGGAGTTGAGGAAGGGAATTGCTTCCTCAATCGGCGCCGTGTGTGGCCAGGAACGGCCGACGGTGACGGCTGGGGTGACGGAGTGCGGCCGGGGTTACGGCCAGAGGCCGATTGATCGGCTTGGCGAGAATTGGACGATGGGGTAGCCGAATCGGAATCTGAAACAATCATGGTGGCGAGAAAGGGAACTGACCTGGAAAGAAAGAAGAACGGATTGGGAAGCAGCGGAGTTGCAGACGGAAACTGGTG